AGTAGAGACCGGGTCTCGCTCTTGATCAGGCTGGTCTCGAACTCCTGAGCTCAAACAATCCGCCCTCCTCGGCCTCCCAGAGTGCTAGGATTACAGGCATGAGCCACCGCGCCCGGCCTGTATTTACTTTTGACAACCAAGCAAAATGTGGTCACCTATAAAATATTGAGATCAATAGAAGTGAAATGTGAGCAACTAGAATCCAGCATTGTAATTCAAATTAGGATCCTGATTAGGCACAGACAAGCTCCATTGTTATAGGCTGTATTATATAAACTAACAGATTTGCATTTCAAAGTTTTGTGATACAGCACTAACACCATTACTATGGACCAGAGGTTGTAACACACCTGCCCTTGAGCCAAATCTGACAAAGATGTGTGTTTTATTTTACCTGCTAACAAAATTTGCAAGATTTTGGACAAAATCCAGATAGAGTCTACTTTTAAAAACAAAATGATCTAGTGACCTTGGACCTACACCTCTAGTAACATGTTCCCATTAAATAAAACACGTACTTGCCAGTTTACTTCAATTCCTCACTTCTCCCAGTCCACTTTTTCTCATTTGTTTACCTATCTCTTTCCAAAAGACATTCGATTTTGCAACCCCTAATAGCCTCCTAGAATCTCAACCTTACAGGGGCTCAGTAAAGATCCAGCTGTCTAACTCTGATAGCTCGGACCTTAGCTCTGGTTCACTGGCTTTCAAACTGTGCTTCTCTGTACTCTCTAGAGGAATAGTCTAGGGGATGTGGCAAGAGGTCGGGTTCCAAGGCATACTACCCTCCCGACACTCCAAACTTCTGATTAGACAGAATCAGCTCTGATTTTGTTGTTTTACATATTGTGGTTCCTCAAAAATTTTTCAGTTGAATCAAGAATTGAAGGTTAAAAGTTTTCTTTTGTTAGTGCTAGTGCTCTAGTTCAAGTACTAAAGTTTATACCCTTATGTTGCCAATGGAAAAAAAGACTCTTAGAAGTAAAGTGAGCCAGGCGTGGTGGCACACACCTGTAGTCCCAGCTGTTCAGGAGGGTGAGGCAGAAAGATCACTTTAGGCCAGGAGTTCAAAATCACAACATAGCAAAACCCTATCTCCAAAAAATAAAAAAATAAGTAAAATGATTTGTCTCTGGTCATAAGACTAGTTAATGTCAGAGCTGCCTCCTACCAATTTAAGTGATTTAGTAATTCATAGAGTAATGCTTCCTACTTTACTTGGATTTTTATGTAGTTGCACGTAAATCTTCATAACTGATAATGAATATTTCTCATAATTCTAATACTTTTTATGCTGCTTAACACTTAAAAGAGCAAGAGTCAGAACATATTCTTTACTATTATTTATTTATTTAGGCAGAGTCTTGCTCTGTTGCCTAGGCTAGAGTGCAGTGGCATCATCATAGCTCACAGCAATTTCAAATTCCTGGGCTTAAGTGATCCTCTTGCCTCAGCCTCCCAAGCAGCTGGGACTACACGTGCGTACCACCATGCCCAGCTAATTTTTTAAATTTTTTGTAGAGATGGAGTCTTGCTGTGTTGCTGAGGTGGGCCTTGAACTCTTGGCCTCAATCTCCCGTCTCGGCCTCCCAAAGTGTTAGGATTATAGGCATGAGCCACCACTCCTGGCCTGTTACATATATTTTATAAATGTGTTGCTGAGGTGGGCCTTGAACTCTTGGCCTCAATCTCCCGTCTTGGCCTCCCAAAGTGTTAGGATTATAGGCATGAGCCACCACTCCTGGCCTGTTACATATATTTTATAAATGTGTGAGTATATTATAAATATGTACTTTTCTGCATTCATACATATGATTAAAGCAGAAAGGGTAAAACTAAGTTAACAATATCTACCTCTTGCCTCTTTGCTGTTGCTTGCAAATATATGTACTATTAATAAATTATTAGCACATTAAAAGCTAATATATAATATAGATCAATATTTAATTTAGCATCACAGTTTTGATACCCTTCAGGCTTAGTTTTTGAAAAATACCTGCCTCCAGATAAAGAAGGTCTACATTTTCCCTGAGTCCAGTAAAAGTACAGCATTTCCAATTTTGGAGAGCCTAGATAACTCAATGACTAATTCCAAAGACTCTATATTAGATTGTATGAACTGTGCTCTTAAAATAATCACCAGATGTTTTCCCAGTGCAGTACTTAGAAATCTTTATTATTACCCCACTGGATTGCTGTTCATAGTTTCTCTTTTTCTACAGGTGGTCATAATGTCACAATCTCCTTACAGTCCAGGACTGGGCACACTCATATGCCTTCCGTGGTTGGAGTCCTTGTCTTTACCCAGTTCTGGTTCTGGTTTCCTCTTTCACACTTCCTGTCATTGGCTTATACCCCTACCTGTGTCATTGGCCTTAACAAGGACTTAAAGGTATGTTTGTGAGACCTCAACTTTGTAGTACATCCTGTTCGCCATATCCTATTGATATACACCACCCACTTGCAAGCATTTCCGTGAAATTTTAAAGATGAGTTGGCATCTCATCAATAACATGTTTTCCCTTCAATTTGAGTCATCACCTTGTTAAGTGGAGTGTGTCAGTGGAAGTTTTAAAAATCATGTCTCCTTACTAGCTGTGTAATCTTGAGTAAATCAATTGAGAGGGAATGGTGAAAGAGAGGGCTAAATTCAAAGATGTGAAGAGGCTTTGTAGACCCCCCACTCTGATGAATTTTATTTAATACTAAAGGCTGTGGGAGCTGTTGAAGGGTTTCAAGTAGACAAATGACATGAGATGTACATTTTAGAAAGATCGTTCTGGTATCAATGGAAAGCCGTTAAAATGCTACTACAGTAATCTGGGCAAGATAGAATGAGAACCTAAACTAAATCTTAATAAAAAGAAATGAAGATTTGAGTCAGGGACATGTTTCAGAGTTACGTGATACAAGAGTGATTGATGGAAGAAAGAATTGTTACTAAAGGGAAAAGCAAAATAGGAGGATGTTCCTTTGGTAGTGGCAGAGAACAAGACCCGCAGTGAGGAACCAGGGAATCTGACAGAATGAAACTGGTCACTTAAGTCAAAAACTTAAGGTGCTGTATGCTTTGTCATCACATTTTTAATCATATTTTTTAATGGGGTTTGTGTTTAGGTCTTTCTCAATCCTGTGACCTGATGATTCATCTTCTTGTTCTTTAAAGGTCAAAAGGCTTTTTGACCTTAAAATAATTCTTACATCTAGTCATCACTGTTCTATTAAATTTTCAGAGTGGAAAATTTTTAGGCCAAAAATTCGCTGATAAAGATTGAATATTTCACTGTATTGATTTTGCTATATAGCCAATTATCCTTTAAGTGTTTCAGTATTAAAACTGCTCACATTTGTAAATATTAAGCAGTTTTATTTCTCAAAATAAGGATCGTTTGGTTTCCCAATCCCTAACCTTTAACATTGTAACTAAACATCCTATAAAGGGGCTTTTATTCTCTGCCAAGTAATTTTGTGATCTCTGTTTTCATTCTTTACTATAAAAGCTGTATGGACCCACCTACACAGGAGGCTGAGGCAGGAGGATGGCTTGAGGCTAGGAATTCAAGACCAGCCTGAGAAACAACATAGCGAGATCCCATCTCTAAAAAAAAAAGAAAAGAAAATGAAAAAAATTAGCTGGATATGGTAGTGCGCATCTATACTCTCAGCAGCTCAGGAGGCTGAGGCTGGAGGATCGCTTGAGCCCAGGAGTTTGAGGTTGCAGTGAGCTGTGATTGTGCCACTGCACTCCAGCCTGGGTTACAGAGCGAGCACCTGTCTCTTAAAAAAAAAGAAAGTGAGATGGAGAAGATAAGCTTCCTTGCCCTAGTAAATATGGTGCTTATTATCATTCTCCCATCAATGTAAATTGGGTAAATAGAGAAAAATTCAGACCAAAGAATTTTAGACCTGGTCACTAAGTAATATGAAGCTGACTTTCCATTAGGCTGTTAGACTCTTATAAGGCATAATTAAATGATGTAGAAACAATTTTTTTTTTTAATGAAGACAGAGTCTTGCTCTGTTGCCTCAGCTAGAGTACGGTGATGTCATAGCTCACTGCATCCTCCAACTCCTCGGCTCAAGTGATCCTCCTGCCTCAGCCTCGTGGGTAGCTGGGACTACAGGCCACCAAATTAGCCATGCCTGGCTAATTTTTTCTATTTTTTGATAGAGACAGGATCTCGCTCTTGCTCAGGCTGGTCTCAAACTCCTGACTTAAAGCAATCCTCCCAGAGTCCTAGGATTACAGGCATGAGCCACTGTGCTTGGCCAGGAAACTATTAATATATACAGACTTATAAGTTAGTGTGGTGCAAGGAAGGGACATGGAAGTTTGGGACAGAAAATCAATCAGACAGCTTTACAAAGGAGATAACAGTTGATCTGATGCTCACACCATGAGTAGGACTTAATCCACTGAAGTAGGGTAGGTTGTTGGTAAAGGTGAGATAAAGGGATACCTATTCAAAGGCACAGCTTCAGGAAAGCACAGGGAACTACAGGTAATTCTGTAAAGCACCTAAAAACTGATTCAATAAAAGAAGACAGATGCCTTTCAGAGAGTAGTGATAACATAGTTGAACATCTAGCAAGCATTGAAACTTCTGGTCTCTTTTTTGTATCTTACTTAACTCTTGATGTTATTTTAATGGAGAAGGAAAAACAAGTTCTTTTATTTCTTCAGATGCCAAAAGTTCAGTATAAATCAAACTGTAAACCATCCACATTTGCATATCCTGCCCCTCTGGAAGTACCAAAAGAAAAGGAAAAGGAAAAGGTATGTTCTTTGTTCCTTTAAGCAACATTTGTACTTACAAATAGAAGCTGAGTGTTTTACCTGTGCTTGTTTTTAAATATGTTTTATGTTTAAAAGTAACACTTCTTATGGTAAAAATCTAACATTACACAAGAATATGAAGTAAAAGCCCTTTTTCTGTCTTGGTCATCCAAGTCCCATGTCACAGGAGTCACAACTGATGAATCCCTGTGTAGGTTTTCTCTGCATATGTCAATACTTTTTATACCACACATAGAATTATTCTCTACATACTATTCTGCATCTTGTTTTCGCTTTAACATACCTTTAAAACTTTTATTGTATATGGATCTCATTTTTTTCCCAAAGCTACCAAGCCATGCCTTTATGAATGTAGCATTATTTATTATACTAGTTCTTTCTTTAGTTTCATTTAAGGTTATTTCTAATTTATCACTACTACAAATGAGTCTGGAATGAAAGTCTTTATACCCATCCATTTGTGTGCACTTGTGCCAGTAAATCTATAGGTTAGAATTTTGGATGTGGAATTGCTTGATCAGAAGTAATACACATTATTTATTTTCTTAGGTACTAACCAATTTACCTTTCAAAATGGATATAATCAATTTATGCTTCTACCAGTCATTGATATGTGTTAAATCAAAGAATAATGATTAGAGAGCTGTACTTGCCAATGAAATTTTACTCAGTAAAAGTATCCTTTCATGACACATTATGTATAGAGAATAGTTCTTTCTGTCAGGATAATGTTTCATATTATCCAGTTAATAATTTGGTGTAAATTTTGTGTATAAGTGGCAATAATTATATAATTGACCAAATTTGAGGGTGGCTGCTGTGTTTTATACCCTCTTTTTAGTTCTAAAACAAAGACAGCTTTACACCAATATTGCCCAGCTCTTCGAACTCCCTGTTTCACCTTTGATTTCAGTGAGACTCATCAAGGAGGATAATTCCAGGCCAACCACTTACCCATTATCATTGTAAGGCACCTAGTCCAGTGCGGACATCTCTATAATCAGGACTGGAGGAAATTATTGTGTTTCCCAGTGCTTTCCCTATAAAGCAAAAAAGGATACAGCACCCAAATCTTTATTTTAGAAGTACATGATAAAAAAAAAAAAAAGTACATGATAGCAAATTTATGTACAGGCTAGGCTACAGATTAGAGAAGATTAGAGTTATATTAGACACAAGCCTCTAAGAACTAAAGATTCGCCTGGACAATAGTAGTAAATTATGTCAGTAAATGTCCTTGTTATTCCCATTTATTCTCTGATTATTTTGTTCTTTATAATACTTACTGCCAGGAAACAGAGTAATATTATAGGACTGGGTTTTTCTTAGGGCTTATATGTTTGTACATAGCTAAGGAGTTATAACGATTTACCCTGTTCGCTTCCTCTAGGTTTCTACTGCTGTGTTATCTATAACTGCCAAGGCTAAAAAGAAGGAAAAAGAAAAAGAAAAAAAGGAGGAGGAGAAAATGGAAGTGGTGGGTATAACGTGGTGATTGGTCATATGGGTTGAAGTATCCATCTCTGTTATGGTCCAGATTCTTCCTTAGTCGAACATTACTATACCTTGCTTATGGCTTCCTTCAAATAATTATCCTATTCCCAGCATATAGAATCATATAATTTTACTTGAAAGGGACACGAGAAATTATATCCATTGGTAGGAAGAATAGAAGAAGCATACAAATCAGGAATAAGTTCCTAGAGGAAGTCACAACCAAAATAGGTTTTGAAGGGCAGAGTGGGATTTTTAGCAGACAATGAGATGATGGTAGGAGAAAGAAAAATCCTTTCAAACAAAGAGATTGTCATTCCTTTAAACAGACTTTCTTTTACTTACATCTGATGGTTTTTGTACCATCTTATCCTTTAAAACCAAGTCAAATACCACTCCCATTCCCAAGCAGGGTTACATTTGTCCTCTGAATCTATTATCACTTAAGTCGTACTTCCGTTGTTATGTGCCACTACATTTTGTACTTAGTAGTTGCTCAGAAAACTTATCAAACATTACTTAGTGATGTGGAACAAAAGCGAACTTTTATTGGGCCTTTTTTCCCCCCTAGGATGAGGCAGAGAAGAAGGAAGAAAAAGAGAAGAAAAAAGAACCTGAGCCAAACTTCCAGTTGTTGGATAACCCAGCCCGAGTTATGCCTGCCCAGCTTAAGGTCCTAACCATGCCAGAGACCTGTAGATACCAGCCTTTCAAACCAGTAAGTTACTAGTCGCTCTTAGCTCTGTATACCATGGGATAGTAATCTGCAGAACAATAGAATATTGACAGAGGATAAATCTCCAAAGCACTGGAACAAGTTCTCTAGTACTAAGAAATCTCTTAGCAAAAGAAAGAATATTTCCTTCTATTTCATATATATTTTGGGGAATTTTTCTTTTCTATGTGTAACTCTACAAAACTCCCCTATTCTGGGCCGGGTGCGGTGGCTCACGCCTGTAATCCTAGCATTCTGGGAGGCCGAGGTGGGTGGATTGCTCAAGGTCAGGAGTTCGAGACCAGCCTGAATAAGAGCGAGACCCTGTCTCTACTAAAAAATAGAAAGAAATGATCTGGACAACTAAAAAAAAAAATATATATATATATATATAGAAAAAATTAGCCAGGCATGGTGGCGCATGCCTGTAGTCCCAGCTACTCGGGAGGCTGAGGCAGGAGGATTGCTTGAGCCCAGGAGTTTGAGGTTGCTGTGAGCTAGGCTGACACCATGGCACTCTAGCCCAAGCAACAGAGTGAGACTCTGTCAATCAATCAATCGATCAATCAACCAATAAATAAATAAATAAAAACAACAACTCCCCTATTGTGCCACAGATGTATGCCATAGACATTCCTAATACGGCATAGTGATTAGGAACATAGACTATAGAGCCAGGCATACTAGATTTGAATCTTGATTCTACCACTTACAGGCTATGGGACCTTAGACTAGGTACTGAATCTCTCACTGCCTCAATTTCCATTACTGTACAGTAGAGATTGTGATCCCTAACTCATAAGCATGTGGCTCAAATTGAACAAGTTAATACATAAGCACTGAGAACATTTACTGGGACTGCTCAGTAAATGTTAATCATTATAATTACACTGCTGTCATAAACACATTGAATTTTAGAGTTCAAAAAGGATCTTCATGCCATTTAACTTATTCCAAGGTAGAATATTTCATGTTAGTAACAAAATGCTTATCAGAAATTTAAGCATGAAGCTGCCTTTATCTTACAGGTTCTTGTACCTCGAAAACTAAAGAGCCATCAGTAGACCCATTCAAGATACCCAGATGCTAGGTCTATCAAAGATGTCAGAGATGAGATTTCTAGATCCTCATACAAGAATAAACTTATTCTTATCAACCTGGTGGGTCAGAGGCAGCTGTTACCTATAGTTGTGAGCCAAGGTCTTACATGACTAGATTATCAGCTAGAGGAGACAAAGGCAGGGAATGGAAGATAGTGTATATAGTGGTTTAGAGCTGGAATTTGGCATAACTGGGTTTATATTTCAGCTCTGCCATTTTACCTGTGTGACTATACAAGTCATTTAATGTCAGTTTCTTCATCTGTAAAATTGGTCTGGTAATACCATCTCCCTCCTAAAGGTGTTGTAAAACATCTAAACCAATGATAAATGTTGATCTGTAGCACTACCTAATCTATAGTAGTTGCTGTGTGGTGTTAAGTGAATGAATTGACAGAACTGCCAGTGGACGCCTTAAGTACGGTCACTGATCTGCAGTCCACTTCATCTTAGTGACATTTTTGCAGAGAATGTATTCTAATAGTGTCCGTAAACTTTTCGTGCCAGTTGAAGTGGAATATATACCCAGAACAGATGTCTTAGGACACAACTAGTGCATACTCTAAGCACATGAGATACCCAATGTTTTTGACAATTATGAACTAAAGGTAGACTATGCTCAAGGCCAGGAGGCAATATGAGCACACTGGTATACCACAGTTGGAAATTAAATATTTGTTAAGTCTTCGCTCAAATTAAGTCAGAGTTACAACAGTTGATCCATCTATAAATCCAGAAAGACTTCCTCTATCTGTGCAAGAAGTGAAGGTTGAAGAATAATTGTCAGCTGCCTGGCTGACTGTTGAAGGTGTAGCCCAACACAGTCCAACAAAGACTGGGAGACTTAGTGTTCCCAGATGTTTAAGGAGATTCTTGTCCAATCATTAGATGATTGAGCAGAGACTTCAGTGGACACACACGACAGAGAATACAAACCTTATAGTGTTTCGTTGCCTATATATTCAGTTGGCATTAGCCTTCCCAGAGAACAGAAAATCATGTACCTCACTGCTTAGAGGGTGAACTTTCTTACCAACATATACAGCATTAATAAACCTAAACCATGTATAGCTATAAACAGCTTTTTCCATGTGTGGATGATATTGTAGGATTTGAGCTGGATTATTTCATTCCAGTTAAGCATGAAATAGTAATAACCTAGAGCCAAATGTTTCCCAAAAATAGGAAGTCCTCTTGTGAACCTGGGTATTTTCTTCTGTTTGGTAGCATATTCATCTCCATTTGGTCAATTAGAAGGTTCAAGTAAACTTTTAGGCCATGGAGGATTAGGACAGTGACCACATACTCTGATTGTTCTTGGGGTGAGTATTGGTAGTAAAGGCAGGGTCCTTTCATAAAATGCATTCTCTTCAAGAAGAGCAAACTTTTTAAGTGAGAGGGTTCTAGGTAAATGTAGGGATATATGTGTTTTAAGGGAGAAGGGGAATAGTTTGGAAATTCATGAATGCACACCAGTTTTATAGCGTGGCAGGGCAGAGTTCTGATGAGCAAAAATCGGATTAGGTTAAACTGCAGAGATACTTATACATATGTGAATCATTTGACTAATGTGCTTGTGCTTCTTTTCCTTCCCAGTAATGTGCTTTGGTAGAAATATGCTATTTCCAGTTGTGCCCTGCCACTGTTGACTGATTTAATTACAGAGAGCAGCTTTCCATTTCCTTTGACACAGGCAAGCAAATAGAATGAGATTAGCACACCAGAGATGGGTGAATAGTTTGGTGTTTGGATTTACCTTCTGCTAATATGTTTGGGAGAAGGCTTAATAGAATTGCTGCTACAGTCTGCTTTCTGTTTGTTTCCCATCTCTTTTTTCATTGGCTTGCATCACAAGGATTTATAGATCAAAGTGAAAAGCACTCAGATGTCTGGTATATTTATGCTGTTCTCTCCATCGTTCTGAAATTGCTGCTGGTTTTTCATTTACAAATTATCTTGTGTCCAAAACGATGGTCATCTCACGATAATGTAGTACATATTAGACTAGCGTGCTTCTCAAACTTGAATGCGCATACAGATTGACTGGGGATCTTGTTAAAATGCAGATTCTGTAGATCTAGGGTGGGTGGGCCCAGGTTTTCTTTATTTTTAACAAGCTCACAAGTGGTAATGATGCTGCTGGTCCAGGACCACATCTTCAGGAGGAAGGCATTAGAATATTGTATTTGGACAGGAAACATTATCGTCAGACTGAGGCTAGTAGACAGATCCATGGCTGAGAAGTACTATTCTTAAATTGGGATGCAGCAGCTGAGTAGAACAGCATCACATGTTATACCATCCAGAGCCATTGGGTTAAGTTTGCAAATGCTCCTTATAGATCACAGTTCCCTTTATCCTAGTAAAGTATAGTTCTGCCCTAGGTTTTTACTTCTGAATCATTCAGATAGTTTTAAGGTGCCATTTAACAAGCATACACCTAGACTGTGGAGCAGGCTTGAAATATGAGTGGAGCTTGTGCTTCTTCGCCCCCTCTCTCTCTGTTTACAGCTCTCCATCGGAGGCATCATCATTCTGAAGGATACCAGTGAAGACATTGAAGAACTGGTGGAACCTGTGGCGGCACACGGCCCTAAAATCGAGGAGGAGGAACAAGAGCCAGAACCCCCAGAACCATTTGAGTATATTGACGATTAAGGACCAGAGGTATGTGTGCAAAAATGTTACGAAGGTAAACCTCTTCGTCAATACTTCACAAATGTTTTTTACAAGGACATCGTCTTCACTGTTTTCCTTCGTTTTACACTTAGTACTTATTTACTTAAACAGTATTAAAACTTCCCCCTATTTTGACCTCTTTCTGCATGTGTAGGAAGAAATTCCTTTTTTCTTTCTTCCTTGATTCTATACACTACTCTGCCAATGCTATTCAAAGTGGCTGGCCTGTAAACGGTTTTTATAGTTCTGTAAGGAGATAGGAAACTTGCTTCAGAATGTAAATCGACTCAGTACTTCTTTCGTCCACAAAGTCTTCTCCAGAAGAGTCATCTGAACTGTATAGTTTGCTTAGTGATGGAGTTGATTTACATTCTGATATAAGTTCCTTGTGGATCAGTTATAGTTGGACTGGCACTGGCCCGTTGATCACACTTTTGAGTATCACAAGTATGCAATTTTCACTGAATTTTCTCTCTCCTTGTCTCCTTTGGCAATACTTTTGACAGTAGAAGCCTTAACATTCATTTATTCAGTGTAAATCAGGGTGCTTATAGAGACTTTGGGGTCATTTAGACCACACCACAAAGCTTCGTCCAGTTGAAAAAGATCATTACTGTGCCAGTATTCTAACAGTATTCAAGGGGTCTTTAGATGTGAAAGATTAGAATAATATAATTCATGAAATTGTCATTCTTAGTTGCCCCATTTCTTTTGAATGGTCACCACATAATTGAAGGCTCAGGTGAACTACATAATCAAGGTTCCCTAATTCCATCCTAGCATGAACACATTTTCAGACAACTATGAATTTATTCCATGCTTTGAACAAAATAAGGACAGTATCATGTATTACATTTAAAAGTCTAGTTGCAAATCAAACATGGTGAGTGTTACACACTGACTAGCAATTAATGAAAGCTTTACAGAAATCTCCGATAAATACTAAGGTACAAACCCTGCCATTTGTAGGAAAATATATTCATGCCTCAGGGAGACTATTAGTTTGGGACTTACAGAAAAGGGGATTTATACTGATTTCCCTGTTATCTAAACTTACTTTTGAAAATTATTGGCCGGGTGCAGTGGCTCACGCCTCTAATCCTAGCACTTTGGTAGGCTGAGGCAGGAGGATCACTTGAGGCCAGGACTTCAGGGTCAGCCTGAGCAAGGGTGAGACCCTATCTCTACCAAAAATAGAAAAAATAGCCGGGCGTGGTGGTATGCACCTGTAGTCCCAGCTACTTGGGAGGCTGAGTCAGGAGGATTGCTTGAGCCCAGGAGTTTGAGGTTGCAGTGAGCTAGGCTGATGCCACTGCACTCTACCCACACCAACAGAGGGAGACTCTTATCTCAAACAAACAAAAAGAAAGAAAAAAAGAAAATTATCTTTCAGCCTTGCCGGTTTCCTAAGTTTTACCCAACTAGCACATGACAGTATAGATGTGGTGATCACTCAGTCTGTATTGGAGAATGGAAATGACACCTATTAGCCTCCCTTTAGCATTTCATAATACCTTACAGGAAGCCCCCTGGTGATGGCTTAGAGGCTTATAGCTGGAAACTGGATTCTTGTTAGTTTTTAAAGGATAAAATATTCAGTCCATTAGGGGTTTGACAGCTATAGTCTGTCTTAACCCAAACTAGCATAAGGACTGCAAAGGCAGGGTTGGGGCCTAGTTTTAGATTTCAACAGCTAGTAATAAAAAGAGAGAGAGAGAGAGAGAGAGAGAGAGAAAATGTTTTGCAATTAAGAATGACTCTAGCTTCTACCACCACCCCCATTCCCTTTCACAGGATCTCACTTGCTCTTCTGAAGAAGATTGTCCAGGCTCTTATTGGAAATGCCTATGAGGAAATTCATGCTGAGACCTGCTGTTCAATGCATGTACCATTGCCTCTGCGCTGACCTGAAGAACCTTGTCTCCAAGTCTTTGGTTGAAGAGAAGATATATGACTATTTAGTGTGTTCTTTCACAGAACTTGGTTTTCAAATAAATATATTAAAATCTCCAGATGGACAAGAATTTTGTTTTTCAGCCTGGATTTTAATAAATGAATCTAATCTTGTCCCCACCACGAAATGCCTAAATTCAAAGAGCTAAGTCCTTGATGTGCTAGGATGAGTATGCATGACTTTCATATTGGTGAAAAAATCCAGCTATTCTTAATTATAGATCATTTGAGAATAACGAGGGAAAAAATCAAATCTTGCTCATCACCCCAAGAATTCCCTGCAGTTTTTTTAATGGAATAGAGAGTGGGTGCCATCCCTTACTGAAGAAGTCTCTTTAATGATCCAAAGAAAATGTTTAGACAGCTAAAAGGCATTTTTTTAAAACAAACTTTGCTTTTAGGATAAACGGGCAGGGTTGATCTTCTGACAACTACACCATCTCCTTGTGTTCTGCCATATGAAATGGGTCTTTCTGATTGACTGGAACATGGGGATGAATAAGAGCTGGATTTGAGAGGTTTTGTGATTTGGTCTTCAATCATGTATAATAAAGTAGGTAGCTTCCAAAATTATACATGAATGGCACTTTGCTCCTACCTTCATTCTTTCACTTCTTAATTTAGGATATAGTCTTCTGAGTCTGGAAGAAAAAAAACCAAAACTGTTATTAAAGGAAAAAAACTCCTATATCAACCCTAAGACATTCATCTACCACAGCCTTGTTATTAGGTCCAGGTCTAAAGGTTACTGATCCCAAAGGATAGCTCCACTCACTGGTTAATTTCATTGTATCCTCTCCTTTGTAAATTCCTAGTTTCCTGAATATCAGATGATTCTATAAAAGAAATTACCTCATTTCCTAGCTTCTCATTAGCTATGTCCTTCCTGTGCAAGCTCTTAACATTGCTTGCATTTCAGAGTTATCTCTTACATTTCCCTTAATATGTGAAATGTTTAAAAAACAGAAGTCTCTCACTGATGTCACTGTCCAAAATTGAGAAGTCTGGGAGGGGTGGTATATTCGCTGGCCTCCTGCCAACGTTATTACATTCCTTACAAAATAATAGATTGAATTTCAGGGAGCAGTCAGCACTAGTTCCTGTTAGTGCAATTCAGAATTTAAGTCTTTTTTTTTTTTTTTGAAACAGAGTCTCAGTCTGTTGCCTGGGCTAGAGTGCCGTGTCATCAGCCTAGCTCACAGCAACTTCAGACCCTTGGGCTCAAGCGATCCTACTGCCTCAGCTTCCCGAGTAGCTGGGACTACAGACATGTGCCACCATGCCCGGCTAATTTTCTATATATATATTTTTTTAGTTGTCCTAATTTCTAGTAGAGACAGGGTCTCCGCTCTTGCTCAGGCTGGTCTCGAACTCCTGACCTTGAGCAATCCACCCGCCTCGGCCTCCCAGAGTACTAGGATTACAGGCGTGAGCCACCGCGCTCAGCCCAGAATTTAAGTCTTGAGAAGGTTATAGATTTAAACGTTGCAAGCTATAAAGTAAAATGGTCATGTGCATCAGATTGTGAGAGTGTATCTGCTTTCCTGATGGATTTTTCCCCCTAGTTTTTCTTGGAAATACATAGCACTGAGAGCTAACAGAGGAGCAAGGAAATCTAGAGTGAAATATAACAGGATGAAATAGTCATATGTGAATACAGGACAGGAGCTAGAGTTTATGCAGTCAATGGCAGAAACAGAAGGGAAATTGGCAGCAATTACTCCCAGCTGATAGTGTGGCACACTGTTTCAGAGTTGAAGGGGAGTGGGATGCACAACATTAAAAAGAGATGGAAGTGTTAGTAAATGGTTTGGTTTCTTAAATTGGCCTTAATCCTAGTATCCAATCTTTTTCCTGCTACTCTGCAGGTAAATGACTCTGCTGACTCTGCCTTTTAAAAATACTCTCCTTGTCCTCTTTGATATATTCTGATTTTCCTCCTTGTCTCTCACCTCCCCTTCATTTAACAAATTGATAGTATTCATCTTTATTTGAGCGTCTATTTGTGCAGGGACTCTGGTTCTTTGGTCAGTTCCACTCCCTCTGATTGCTCTTTAACTGCTAGTCTTCTTCAGAATTTGGTTTTTGGTCCTTCTCTCAGTCTACACATTCTTCAAGCAACCTAATCCATCCCACACCTTCATTCACCATCTCTGTGCTAATGACTCCGAAGCCCACATCCCTCCCATCCCTTTCTTTCCTGTGAGCTCCTGACGTGCACATCCGACCACTCACTCACTGCCATCCCCATTTGGGCTGCCTCACAGACACTTGAAACAGTACATCCAAGCACCCTCCACGTTTATCCTCTACTTCGGGCTAATGCCAAGACCTCCATCTGGTTGCTCACACTGAAAAACCAGGCTTCACCTTGACTCAATGTGCGACTCCTCAAATATCTCCAGTTCATCCATTCTTCACTTCCCCGGTACTCGCTACCTTCAGCTGAAGCTCTTAACTGGTCTCTGCCTCCAGACTTGGCCCACTCTAATCCATTTCCCAACTTTATCTTTCTAAACTGCAAATCATGTTAGTCTCCTGCTTAAAGCTTTCAGTGCTTCCTTGTTGCTGAATAGAGCCCAAATTCTTTTTTTTTTTTTTGCAACTATTCATAACCCTCAACTGGAACGAGCCCAAGTATCCACCAACAGGAGAATGGATAAACAAACTGTCATACAAACTGTGTCACAGTCACACAGTGGAATACAACTCAGCAATAAAAAGGAACTACTGATACAAGGATGAAACTCAGAATTATGCTGAGTGAAAGAAATCAGACTCTAAACACTACATACATGATTTTACCATGGACATGAACTTTATGTAAGAAGTTCAAGAACAGGTAATCCAAGCTGGGCATGGTGGTACATGCCTGTACTCCCAGCTACTCAGGTGGGGAGGCTGATGCAGGAGGATCATGATTTCAGGAGTTTGAGACCAGTCTGGACAATACAGTGAGACTCTTGTCTAGTTCTGGAGGCTGGGAAGTCCAAGATTGAGGGGTCAGCATCTAGTGAGGGTCTTCTTGCTGCATCATCCCATGGCAGAAGGGGGAAGGGCCCTGAATTCTTTAATATGTGCACATGGCTGCCCAAGGCTTTAGCTGTCACTTGCCTCTCCAGCCTCCTGTCTCTCCACTCTTCACCTCACACTCAGAACTGTTCTCACTTCCTCCAAAGACCCAGGCCAGGTTCCTGTCACCTAGCCTTTGCACGTACAGTTCCCTGTGCTCAAAATATCCTCCTGTTTTGACTCCTGCCATTTTTCCATCTAGATCTGGTAAATCTAGTTACTTAGATATCAATCCTTTGAGACCTCCTCCAGGAAGCCCTCCCTGATCCCTCCCAGGAAGGCTGGACTAGGTTCTCTCTGCTTCCCTAGGACCCAATATTGCCCCTTACTGTCCTCATGCCATATTATCATTCACTGCCTAGTTAACTTGCCTACCTTCCCCTACCTCTGTCTTGCTCATCATCATAAACCCTAGCACGTAGTATATGATCACATACTCACTAACTGACTATTCTTGAGAATGGTAACTGGGAGCCACAACTGAGCATTAACAGAACAATTTGAGACAGAGTCCATGACCACGGAAGAAGGTGATTTCATCTGTCTCAGAGCTGCCTTCCCCAAGGGCCTAAATGTCTTCTCACTCTCCCCCTGCAGTGACTGCTCCCCCTAAGGACTATTTTTCAGTTGATTTTGCTCTTGAAGAACCCTGGCCTTTCATGCACGGGCAAGATGTCCTCTCAGGGATCTCACAGGCATGAGACGATGGATGGTAAGAAATGAGCTTGGGCGAAGATTTCGTGGCTTTGTCCCAGACAACTCCCCGACATTCTTAAATGCATTATAAATGAGGCAACACTTCCACTTCCTTAGCAAGTGCATTTTGCTGTTTCTAGGGTTCAAAATTTTTTTCCACCCTCTCATTCTTGACAGTTAACGCCATAGGGGCCCTTCCAAGCCAAACCACATAATAGGAAGATCCTGCAAATGGCCTCAGACTCAGGTTCAGATCCGGATCTTGCCCCTTAGAGATGTCCTCATTTGTACAAAGGAAATAATGTTCACTTTGAGGTTGTTACAGGGATTGAACAGTGGTTATGGTCACACTTGCTATGTGCTAGACACCGTGGTAAGAATCGCATGGATTGTTACTCATTTCTCAACAACCACCCCAAGAGGTAGATGCTGTTACCTAGAGATACTCTATGTTCAAGGACCTTCCTAGCACTTAAGTAGGCATTCGCTAAATTTTAGGTTAAATCAGAACGGTGCAGCCTCATCCCATTTGGCTTAACCCCTCATTGTAAAGGTGAGGACGCTCAGACTAAAGTGACTTATTCAACATCAAAAACCGTTTTTACAGTTGTGTTTCCAGTTCATATTTCCATTAAGCTGGTTTCTGGCCTCTTAATTTTCTAGGATCGTTTGATCCAAAGATCGGCAGACCCACAAATATCCACGTCCAAACTCTGCTCCAAGTTTGCGTCTTCCTCCGTCCTCCTGTGTCAGTGTGCCTGTTCGGGAAGGGGCTGGCAACGCAAGCACTGAGGCCAGCGACCCTCCGCCTCTGATGCAGCCCATTGGTGATGCGCGTTTCCCATCCCTTTGCTGGGGTCTGGGCAGTTCCTTTGCTACGTGTACTCAATGTTTTCCAAATCCGTGAGTTATTTATAATAAAATTGTATCTGGAAGATAATTACCGTTATAGATCTTAGGCCTTACACAGAGCTGGAACTTGGCAAAGAGTTGGACAGAGATCAAGAGTTTCCCTCAAGTCATATTCCCATGACCTGGTCTGAGCAGCCACTGACTCTTGTGCCATCATCTTCTCTCAGAAGCTCTGATTCATGTCCCAAAAATTTCAAAGATTATAAGCTTTTTGCTTATGCTAACTATGAACTAGTATCTCTAAAATAAGGGTCGGGGGTGAGTCCCTAAGCAAATTCTTTTCTTTCTTTTTGGGTTAGAAGCTTCCGGGGGAATTCACTTACACCTCACCGTCAGTCCCCAGTAATCTCTCCTCTAAGCAGCTCTCAGGCACGTATGACACACCGTTTGC